GGCGACGACGAGGCGCTTACGCGGCGACGGCGGCGATGGCGATGACGACGACGATGACCAACTCGACGACGACGGCGACGACGAGACGATTTTGACGATAGTGATCAGGACAAACACGGCGACTACGACGACGAGGCGTGGAGGTGATGACGCCGACGATGACGACGACGGCGGCGGCGGCGACGACGACACGGCGCAGAACCGACGACGACAACGACGAGGCTCGGAAGCGACGACGACAACGACGAGGCGCGGACACGCCGACGATGACGTTGAAGACGGCGGCGACGACGTTGACGACGACGATGGTGACGACGAGTTGCGGAAGCGACGGCGACGATGTCGACGTCGACGACGGCGACGACGACGACGACGACGACGACGGGGTGCGGACGCGACGACGACGACGGGGACGACGACGACGGTGACGGTGACGACTACGACGACGACGACGATGAGGCGTGGAAGCGGCGATGACGCCGACGACGTCGACGATCACCATGACGACGACGATGACGACGACGGCGACGGCAAGACACAGGAGCGACGGCAAGGACGACAACGACGAGGCACGGAAACGGCGACGACGAAATCGACGACGACGACCACGAGGCGCTGACGCGACGACGACGACGAGGCGCGGAAGCGCTAGCGACGACGAAACCGACTACGACGGCGACGACGATGACGACTGCGACGGCGACGTCAACGACGACGACGAAGAGGCGCGGACGCGATGAAGACGACGACGGCGATGACCAGAATGACGACGGCGACGGCGACGACGACGACGACGACGGCGACGAGGCGTGGAAGCGACGGCGACCACGACGACGACGACAACGAGGCATTGAAGCGACTGCGACGATGCGGCGTGGAAGCGACGACGGCGACGACGAGGCGCCGAAGCGCCGATAATGACGACGAAATTGGCGACGACGACGCCGACGTTGACTGCGTCGCTGACGATGACGACAGCGACGGTGACGACGACGACGAGTCGGGGAAGCGACGACGGCGACGACGATGACGACGGCGACGTCGACGACGACGACGACGACGGGGCGCGGACGCGACTACGACGACGACGACGGCGACGTCGGCGGCGACGACGACCCCGACGTTGACTGCGACGCTGACGATGGCGACAGCGACGGTGACGACGGCGACAATGACGACGATGGCGACGATGGCGACGAGGCGCAGAAGCGACGACGACGACGATTACGGCGACGACGACGACGACGATGACGACCGACGGCGGCGTTGACAACGACGACGACGAGGCGCAGAAGAGATGACGACGACGTCGACGGTGACGATGACGACAAAGCGTGGAAGCGACCACGACGATTACTGAATCGACGACCACGGCGAGGCGTTGACGTTACGACGACGGCGACGAGGCGCGGAACCGACGACGACGAAATCGTCGACGACGACGACGGCGACGTTGACGGTGACGACGACGCGGCGTCAAAGTGACGAGGCGTCGAAGTGACGACGGCGACGGCGACGAGGCGCGGAGGCGACGACGACGACGACCACGACGACGACGACGACGTCCATGATGACGACGATGACGACGACGAGGCGCGGAAGCGATGACGACAACGAAGACGACCTCGTCGACGACAACGAGGACGACGACGACGAGGCGCTGAGGGGACGACGACGGCGACGACGACGGCGAGATCGACGAGGAGGCGAGTGGCCTCGTCGCGTTTCCGCGCCTGCGCGGCCGTCTCTTCCTCTAGCGGCGGCGGCTGGCCCGCAGGGGCTGCATGGGCGGGCCTCCCCCGGCGCGGGCAGGGGCACGGGCCCAGACTTCGGGCGGATGATGTTCCTCCAATCTCTGTGTTTTTTCGGGCTCCTCCTCCGTGGGCACTCTTTCTCCGATTTCTCGTCCCCTTTCTCCCCCTCCTCCTCCTCCTCCTCCTCCTCCTCCTCCTCCTCCATCTCCTCCTTCTACTTCTCCCCCTCCTCCTCCTCCTCCTCCTCCTCCTCCTCCTCATCATCATCATCCTCCCCCTCCCCCTCCCCCTCCCTCCTCCTCCCTCCTCCCTCCTCCTCTCCTCCTCCTCCTCCTCCTCCTTCTCCTCCTCTTCCTTCCCCCTCCCTGTTGTGCAAGAGCCATAGCACGCGTGCCACTTTTTTTTTTTGTTTCTCCAGTCTTTGCGTTTTTTCTTCCATGTCGGCCTACTGGCCTGGGGCTTTTTCGGGTCTTGGGACCCCCAGAACTGGGCTCGGGGAGGAAACCCCAGGGACGGGGTGGAGACCTATGGGGCTCAAGGACAGAACAAAGCAATCCACCGGATGTCTGGGGACGACGAAGAACAGCACGTTCGAGCAATGCTCTCGTTCTTGTAAGAATCGAATCGTTGACATCCCCTCTCGACGGAGGCTGGCGGATGTTCTGCCGAAGCCAGCGGGTAAAGCGAAGGCGGCTCCGTTGGCGTGTCGGCGGAAGACCGGCGGAAGCCAGCGGAAGTAAACATTTTTGGAGAGGGACAGCCCCATTTGTGGAACTGCTGCACGTTTTTTACGCCTCGAACCACGAGACCAGAGGAAGTTTCATTCGAGCGCCCTGTTTTGAACATTTACCGCCCTCCAACCGTGCAAATGTTACATATGTTTAAGCTCCTATTCTTCAACAAGGCCCCGCTCTCCATCCCGAAAGTGCCTTTTTGAAGAAGGTGCCACGCTCCATCCCTGCAGCTGCTGCAAGTTTTCACGACGAATGTGCTCTGCGCCAAGGCGAGGTTCCCATTTTCAACAAGAGTAAGACCAAGGTGCGCGGCGCTAAGTCAATAAGCCCATTTTGATAAAGTCTCGCCCTCCAGCCCTGTGGCCGTTGCCAGCGTTGAAGTCGAAGGTGCGCGGCGCTAGGACGATATCCTTACATTCAACATGAACCGCCCTCCATCCTTGAAACTGCTGCGAACTTTTAAGACGCATAATGGCGGCGTTAAGTCAAGAACCCCATTTTGAAACGTGCCGCCCTTCATCGCTGTAGCTGTCGCAATCGTTGAAGACGCACGTGCTCGGCGATAGGGCGAGAGCACCATTGTGAAAACCACCACCCCCATTTCTGAAGCTGATTCAGACTTTTAAACCAAATCTGCTCGGCGTTTAGGCGAGAGCCCCACTTTGAAAACCATCCCCGCTGCTGAGAACTTTCACGACGAATGCGCGCGGCACTAGGACGAGAGCCCCATGTTGAAAACGCCGACCTCCATCCGTCTACAGGTTGTGCAGCTCCAGCTCCCAGGGCCGCAAATGGTGAAACCGTCTCAGGCGATCCCCCCCGGCCCGCCCCACTGGCACGTCAGGGAGTGCGACAGGAAGAAGGTATCTATACGGAAGCGGGATGGGGTTGGAGGGTTGGCTATACTATCATCCTTCTTCTCTTCCATGACTCCTCGTGGTCGTCCTCCTAATTTGCTTCTCCTGCGCCCCTCCTTCTCCCCAGCTTCACCTTCCTCCCCTCCCCACCCTCAGTATCCTTGTGGATGGGGAGGAGGAGGCGGAGGAGGAGGAGTGGAGAAGAGGAGAGATAATGAGAGATACGGAGGATCAGGAGCAGAAGGAGGAGATGAGTAGTAGAAGGAGGAGGAGGACAAAGAGGAGGACGAGAGAGGATGAAAAAGAGGTGGGGGAAGGGGAGGGGATGATATTTTAACACGCCGCGTACTTTCGTGAACGTTACTATGGATACTTCGAGAATGTGGAAACAAGTCCGCCGAGCACCACTTGGGAGGTTTTACAGCGACGCTAAGTTCGAGATCCACTGCGATGAAGGTCGGCGCAGGACGGCTTGCTCTGCGTCCGCATGGATTCTTGAAGCTCGTTGGGCTTTGAACGGGCGCGCAACCTCGCAGACCGCGGCCATGGCTAGGGTGTACCCTAGAGCTGCAGTGTCGTCATTTGTTGGGGAAGATGGCAATCGATTCCTGCATAGAGTTTCTTTTGCAGTAAACTGCTCCGATTGATTCGTTGCGCTTCGCCCGAGGTTTGCGCTGCATCGGCGGCAGTGGGTAGGCCTGCTATCGCCATCGGGCGCGTTCCACTACTCGCAAAGTGCCTACTTGCAAACGTCCAGAAACATGTGTCTTCCTATATGTATTTGCCGAAGACCATGCCTTGCGGCGTCCTGATAATGGTCACCCCCCCTCTTGTCGTTCCTGACCCCAGTCCTTTACCCGACCTTTTACTTTCCACCTTCAGCCGGCGACTCCTGGAGCGAAGGCTCCAGGAGTCGCCTGGCCTTGGTTTGATCGACCCCCCCCGGGTCGACCGGCCCTGGGGGGGGGGAAGAGCAGCGATCGAAGACCTCTCATGCCATCAGGAGCCAGGAACTAGTAGAGTGGAAGCCCATGCCACGAAACACCCTGCTTGCCTCCAGGGTGCCCTGGGTTTCTTGGGTTTCGATGGTTTTGCCAAAAACGATGGACGTCCTGGGGCCTCAGGGCTGGGTTGCTTGTGGAAGGTTTCTTGTGGTCGAACTCCTACTGTAGGAGGAATTGGACGACGACGGCGACGACGACGACGATGACGACGACGGGGCGGGCCTTCCCAGAAGGCTCGGAAGTCCCCGGGCCTTCGGAGAAGCTTTCCAAGCCTTCCCCGAAGACGCAGAAAGCTTCTCAGCAAGGCGCGAGGGCTTCTGAGAAGCCCCGCCGCCTCCTGAGCAGGCCTCCTCCGGTAAGGGGACAAAAAAGTGGAATCACCTCGTCGTCGACACCATGTTCGTCACCTCCCTTCGCCCCGACTCAAAGTTGGGCTCCGTCGTGGTGGAGGCCCTGGGGGTTCACTTTTTTTGTCCTTTCAAGCCTGCGCTCTTGAATGTCTGGGAACAAGTGGCTGGAAAGGAAGGGCCAGAGCCAAGGGTTCCACTTTTTTGTCCATCTGCGGTCCTCCTCACCTTCCCCCCATCGCTCGCTCGCCGAGACGAGAAGAGCACCTGCCGGGGGGGCAGGCGGGCCCCCTGCTGGGGCCCCATGGCAGCGCCGCGGCCGGCCGGTGCCGCCCCCTGGGCGGGCCGGGCCCCCGGGGGCGCGGCGGGGGCCGCAGCGGCAGCGAGGCCCGTGCCCTGGGGGAGCCTCGCCGCCGGCGCCGGCGCCGGCGCCGGCGCTGTCGCCGTCGTCGTCGTCGTCGTCGTCGTCGTCGTCGTCGTCGTCGTCGTGGTGGTCGTCGTCGTCGTGGCTTTAGTCGTCTTTCTCGTCTTCGTCGCTGTGTCTTCTCTTTCGTCCTTGTCGTCTTTGTCTTTGTGGTCATCGTCTCTGTATTCCTGGCGTCTTTGTCGTCGTCGTGCTTCCCTGCTGCTGCCGCCGCCGCCGAGCCGGGCCGAGGGGTGGAGGAGGAGGAGGAGGAGGAGGAGGAGGAGGAGGAGGAGGAGGAGGAGGAGGAGGAGGATCGAGGATCGAGGATCGAGGATCGAGGATCGAGGATCGAGGATCGTGCGAGTTTTTGGGCCTCTTTGGGGACTCTGGAGGCTTCTACTGTCAATATTTTTTGCTGGGCGTGTCGTGCTGCCAGCTCTGGCCCACCACGCTTCGGCGCGGCACGCTCATCGCGTCCCAGTCCCCACCGTCCCTTCTCCTGTCCGCGGCGAGCCCGGGGGGACAGTGAGAGGGGGCCGGCCTCCTCAGACGGTGGCACGGCCTCTCGGAAGGCCCGAGGCCTTCCGAGCCGTCTGAGAAGGTACGCCCCCGCTCGTTCCCCCCCCTGGGGCTCGGCGCCGATCCCGGTCAGCTTCGTCGTGCTCGTTCTCGGCTCCCCCCTCCTCGCCTCTTCCTGCTCACGCGGAGGCCACCCGTGGCGCCAGACGACCTGGGCGTGCACCTCTCGGGCGGCGAGGGCGTTCCGCGCGGTGATGCCACGGGGCAGGGGACAGGAGCTGCGTGCAGACACCGTGCTCAGACGCCCCACCGTCGGGTGCAAAGGTCACGGGCACGTCAGCACACATCTCTGCGAAGAGGGCGATCCTTCTTTCTGGCGGGTCGGCCGCGCAGGAAGAATGCGCACGAAGAGCTCAGGGTTGTCATGACGCATTCGTTGGCGACCGGGGCGGTGACGACTACCATGACGATGTGACCATGGAGTTGATGGGCATTGTGATGCTGAGCGTACGTATGATCATGACTGTGATGGCGAAGCGCACGACGCATGCGGTTGCGACGATGGTGGCAGTGACGTGTGTCGTATCGCAAGGTGCAGCTCAAGGACCCAGCATGCGAACACTTACCTGGGTGCGAGCGTCTTCTCGCAGTGTCTGAGAGGATGTCAGGGACGCGATCTTTGATGACGATGATAGCGACGACGATGCGTGCTTCCATACTGACGACACGCTTCAGCTTGCCTCGCGCTTCCCCGAGGAATCCCAATATGGCGGGACCTCGGCAACACGGCGCTCGCGCGGAAGGTTCGACTTTGGGATGCGTCCTTGCCCCGAGGACTTGGTGGCTCTTGCATGCGCAGTCCAGCAGCCTCTGCCACAAGCCCCGGTCGCAAGGGGATATTTTAGCTCAAATCTTGAGCCCTCCGGAGGCGCGAAAATGATCGCGCTGGGTTGTTTTTTTCTTTCAAGGGGTCGGCGAGAGAGCGCGAATCTCATCCTTGTGGTTCGAGCACCGCGACGCGCGAAGTCAGGCGACCTCACAGAATTTTGACACCATGTTTTTGATTGGAGTCCTGGGTGCTCAAGTACTGGGCTCCCAGTCTCAGAACCTTTTGGGCCTGGCGAGCCTGTGGGTTTGCCTCGCGGCCCCTCCTGGTGCGATCCCACGGAGGGCTCAAGGCACAGGGTCCTGTGAGGTTGACCGTGCAAGCCCGCTTGCTCCAGGCTCCGTTCGGCCTGGTCGACTGCCCCAGAGGCACTCTTGGGTGCCTCCGTCGTCCTTGGGGTAGGAGCTCGGGGCCGAGAGGGTGGCCCGTGTCGTGCGCGCTTTCGTGACCCCCCCCCCTCGCTGCAGGTGTGTGTGTGTGTGTGTGTGGTGTGTGTGTGTGTGTGTGGGCAACACCACTTCGCTCTCCCTCCGGGACTTCGCCTCCGGCTCCTGTCCAAGGTGTACCTTTTCCTGTGCAAGCTCTTCAGCACCACCTGCACCCCACGCCCTCTGGCCGCCTGAGGCCCCGCCCGCCCGCGCCCTGTCTCCCCAATTAGTGCTTTGCGCGGCCCGCCTAGCTCTTAATCGGACGAGGCTCGCTCTTGTGTGTGTGTGTGTGTGTGTGTGTGTGTGTGTGTGTGTGTGTGTGTGTGTGTGTGTGGGGGGGAGCGCCTTGCTTGAGGCGGGGAGTGGGGTGCAGCCTGGCCGACTTCCATGGTTGAAATTTAGCAGGCCACCTGTAGGGCACATCTTCACCTCCCCCTTTTTTTCCCGAGAAGGGGGAGCGGGACGGGGGCCGCAACCAGGATGTGGTCTGGCCCGCTGCCTGGGCACTCGCGAGTTCAAAAGCCGCACAAAGGGCAGCGCGACCGCGCTGCGGCAGGGCGGCGCTGCCGTCAGCACGGGCCCGACACCTCGCGGCTTCGGCGCTCCGGGGCGAGATCCAAACCGGGGCGCTGCCGACCTCTGCGCCTGCTCTGCTCTTGTAAGGTGGTTGGGCTCAGGAGGGGTTGGGGCAGATGGGCGACGGTGGAGTACTTCACTCGCCTGTGCGGTCATTGAAATCTGAAGAGTGCGAGTTCGGCCTCGAAGATTTGGACATCTGGGGAGGCCAGGCTTCTTGAAAACATTTAGGTTGGGGAAGCACACGCGCTGGAGAGGCTGGCGTCGTTCTTGAATTCGTTTCCTTGAGAAGAGCACACTCGCGCCCGAAAGTCAGCGGTCGAAATCGGAGCGATGCGTTGGACAGTTGCCGTCGAAATTTGCAGTCAGGCACGCACGAGCCACACATTGGCGAGCAACGTCGGACAACTGCTTGACGGGAGTGTCCGACGTCAGGTGTTTGTCCAGCTGCTACATCGGAGGTGCGCGTATGCAGCTTATTTGGATTATTGCGAAGGCCTGACGGCCGGTGCCGCCGACCCTGAAAGACATCGACGACGACCAGAAGGGGGAGGAGGAGGAGAAGGAGGAGGAGGAGGAGGAGGAGGAGGAGGAGGAGGAGGAGGCGGAGATAAGGAGGAGGATGAGGGGGATGAGGGGGAGAAGGAGGAGGAAAAGGACTCCCCACTGGGACCCCCCCCCCCTGGGGAGGAGGACCAGAGGAAGACCGGCGTGGGAGAGGGGAGGGGAGGGGGAGGAGGACCCCCATGGACGGATGCGTATCTGACTCCCCTCCCCCCCCTGGGACTCCTCCCCGCCTGGGGGGGAGGACCCGAAGAAGACCGGCGCGCCGGAGAAGGACCGGCGTGGGAGAGGGGGACCCCCAGAGGCGATGCGAATCTGACCCCCCCCCCTCCCGTGACCCCCCCCCGCCGGTGAAGGGACAAAGGGACGGGGCTTCCCTTTGACGTAACGAGGACGCGGATGGAATTCCCTCAAGCTGCGAACCCGTTCCCCGGGCAGGAAGTTTTTTTTTTTTGTTCTCTCTCTCTCTCTCTCCCCCGACGGGGGAGGAGGATGGGAAGGATGGGGCGAAAGACGGCTCCCCGTCGACGGGGCCGGACAGACACCCCACACACGCCGACAAGGTCGCCGGTTTTTCGTTTTCGGAGGCTGTTTGTAACTGGCGTTTGTAGAATCAAGCTGGGACGATGAATCCATATGATCGAAATCGGCGCTCCAAGAAGGATACCCCGCTTTATTGTATACACTCGAAGTTAGTCTACGACATCCTGCTAGTGCCACGGGCAAAACATCTGCTCCGAGGAACGTTTGGTGATGTTGGGAGGAGGCGGATAGCTAGATCTCGGCGGAGCAACTACATTGCACCGCCGTGCGATTTACGTCAGTCTGGCGGGCTACCCTGGCCCATTCCCCCTCCTCGTTTGTCATCATCGGCTCTCGGGCGTGGTAGGCGAGGCATGTGGGCTGCGAAAGTCGGAGAATCCCTGACCTCCAAGGGTTTTTGTCTTCCCCCAAACAGTGCTTGCGCGTCGGGATTCTTAGTTGTTTTCCGCCGAACTGGGCCGGTGTGCCGCGCTGGCGGCTATGTGGCCGCCGTCGCCGCCCCGTCGCCGCCTCGTCGCCGCCCTTCGTACTGCGCAGCAGTCGCCACTGTCGTGGGCTCCTGGGAGGCACGGCGGGGTGCAGGGCCACGCAGATCGTGCATATCTCGCAACGCGTTCTTTTTATGGAAGCGTTCCTATAAACAGTCGCCTCGCGTGGAGAAGGGGTTCGGCACGTCTCGGGTAATTTACCTAGGGTGGCGAGGGTCTGGTCGTATGGATGTGAGCAGGTTGGGTCGGGCGGATGTGCACCAGAAAGTTGTTTTGCGCAGGATGGTGGGGGTTGTGTCGTATGGATGTGCGCGGCGCTAGAGCGAGAGCCACATTTTGAAAAGGAGCCATCTGTTTTTCAGACGAATGTGCGCGGCGCCATGGCGAGAGCCACATTTTGGGTTGCAAATTTCAAGCTTCAGGATCATGATTGGTGAGGAAGTCAGGCGAAACGGCCTATGGACGCGTCCGGTGGTGCGGCAGGGAGGTGCTATCTTTGAGGAAAAGAAGCGGAGGAGGAGGACGAGGAGGAGGAGTAGGAGCAGGAGGAGGAGGAGGTGGTGTAGGACGAGGAGGAGGACCCGAGTAAGCCCAAGATGCGTGAACGATGGCGCAACAAACCCTTCCGTCCCGAGGCGCCCTCTTCATAAGTCCCTACGAGCATTCCTTCTCGTTGCGAAAGACGCCCCGCCAAAAACACACCACCCAATTGATCAGCCGTTCTGGCGAGAACCCCTTTGTGAGAAGAAGCTGCCTTGCATCCTTCTGGTCACTCTTACGGAATGTTACAAGGTTGCACTTCTTGTCACGAGCTTCGAGGAAGTCTCGAGCGATAGCGCCCTGTGGAAGCGAACCATCCTCCTATTGCAAGTTTTTCAGACGAAGTTGTGCGGCGCTAAGGCGAGACCCCCATTTTGAAAAAGAACTGTCCTCCATTCTTGTTACTGGAACTGTGCTTTGAAGACGAATGTGCGCATGCGAACACGAGAGCTCCGTTCGAAAAGAACTTGTGTTTCGTTTGCGTAGCTGTCGCAGACTATCAGCCGAATGTGCGCGGTGCTAAGGCGAGAACTTCACTTTGAGAACGATCTGTGCTCCATCTGTGCCTGCTTCAAGGTTTAGGCGAAGGTGCGTGGTGCTAATTCACAAGCTTTCTCAAACAACGACGTGTGCTCCGTCCTTGCAGCCGTTGCAAGTGTTTAAGGCGAATGTGCGTGGCGCCAAGGCGAGCACACCATTTTGACCTCCCCCATCCACCCGTCGAATCATTGCAATTTACAAGCTTCAGCATCATAAGTGGTGAGGATCTCTAAGGCGAGACGCCGGGCCCGCCCTATCAACACGCCGGGGGATGCGACAGGGAGGAGTTACTTATCAGGAACAGGGGCGGACGAGGAGGCGGAGGAAGGTATGTGAGGATATTGTGTTGGATGATGCAGCCCCGAGGGCGGCCGATCCCTGAACGAGGTGGAAGGCCAACCCACCAACGGCCAAAGCAAATTTGTAATGACACATCCCGACAATGATCGTAATGCTGAACGTACTTTGATTTCAAGAAGCATACCGCGACCCAACAGTTCCTTTCTCACAGTGGAGAAGCGAACCCACTGGGGGACGGGGAGGGAACAGGAGGCCATAGCAAGGGACGCGGTTGGGAATGGTGGACGGGGGGGGGGAATCAGGCGACAGGAGGACATCCCAGCGAGCGGTGCAGACGGCTACATGCAGCCCAGGAGAGTTGCGGATGACGTCCGCGATGGCCCAAAATACGCCCAGACAGCAGATGATGGCTTCCAACGTGGCGCCTCCTGCCACCGAATGCTGCGTCCCTCCAGCGTCAAGGGATCTCGTCTGGTCGTTCTTGCTGGATGGGCCAGTGGAGATTTTTTGGTCCGCGGGCGCGCGAAGGCGGGTCGAACGCCGAGCAAGCTAGGGCGCGCTCCGTAGCTAAGGGAAAAACAGCGAGACGAGCGGCACCCGGCGGGCAGAAGGGGTAGTACAGAAGTACCGCCCGGCCCGCGAAGCTGCCGCCAGAAGAGCGTGCCGAGGACGAAGAGCACGAAGACCAGGGGCGGAGCCACCCTTGCCGAACAGGAAGAACATGAAGCAGGCCCGAGAGGACCAGAAGCGAGTGGTAGGCGCAGACAAAATGGCGCGAGAGAGCCAAACCGCAGGCGGAAGAAGTGGTACACCTTGCCGTACGGGGGAACTTCACCGTGCGTGAGCACCAAGAGCGGGAACGCAGCCAAAATGGCGCGAGAGGAGGAACTCGGCGGCCAGGGCCAGTGGGGATTCGCAAAGCTACAGGAAAGCGTGGCGGGAAAGCGAGGGAGAAGCACCGCTGGAGTTACGAATCGGACGGGGCAGTATAAGAGGGGTGAGGTCGGAGGTAGTGTGGAGGAAGGCGAAGGAGTACCATTGGACTTGCAAGGGCTAGGAGGCAGAGGGTGCCCTGGCTGGATGACCGCGCGATGGCGCCAGTCCTGATATGCATGCATCCTGCAGACGCCTTTCCTCGTTCTGGCACGTATAAGGGGGAAGGCGGGGAGGCGAGGAAGGTCAGGCTCCTTCTGCCGGCCTAGGGGAAGAGGAAGGAATGGCAACGAGATCAGGGAGAGTTTGCAAGGGCTGACACGGCGGACGTTTGGGGGGGAGGTAGGGGTGGGAGGCAATGTGTGGATGTATGGGGGGAATGAGGAAGCACCTCTGGAATCGCGAACCGTCTGGGGAGGAGAGGGTACGGAGCGATGGGAATAAGCAAAAGGTTGGAGGTGGTTGAGTCCTTAGCCCCACCAATGAGAGCTCCATTGGTATTGCGATACAGTGAGACCACCACTGGGAAGTACGAGACGGTGAGAGCACCACTTGAGACAGTGCGAGCACCACTGGAATTACGAGGCATAGCTTGAGTCCTTAGCCCTCAGCGAGTGAGAGCACCGCTGGAATTACCGGATAATTAGTGCACACTGAAGTTACAGGACAGTGCGAGCATCAATGGAATTACGAGGCAGTGCGAGCTTGGTTGGACAGTAGGGGTGGAAAGCGATGTGTGGAGGTAGGGGGGATGAATCGGGAAGCGCCGCTGGCCTCGCGAAGCTCCTGGGGAGGAGGTGCAGAAGGGGGGAAAGCAACAGTGAGTGGGAGATAGGTAAGACTGTGGATAGTTTGAGCCTTTAGCGTCCCAGTGATCGGCCGGATGGCGATGGGGGGATCAGGACATGGAAGGATGCGTATCCGGTACCGTTTTGTTGGGGTACAATTTGTACCTTCTCTGCGGGTTGCAAGTACAAATTGTACCTTCTCCCCCCCGTTAACATCCTCGCACATGTCGCGGACGTGGTCAAAAGTACAATTTGTACCTTGTCTGGGTGGCGTCGGTACAAATTGTACCTTCTCCGTGGGGCGTAGGTACAATTTGTACCTCGGTTGCGCCTCTCTCCCCCCCTGGACTTATCCCCCCATTTGCATCCCGCCAAAATGAGAACACCATTGAAATTGCTAGACATTGCGAGCACCACTGGCATTCAGAGACATACCTTACTGCTTAGTCCGCCAACGAGTGAGCGCACCGCTGGAAGTGTGGGACAATGAGATTATCATTGGAAATACGAGGCAGTGCGAGTACCACTGGAAATCACGAAGCAGTAGGAGGCGATGTTAGTAAGTGTGTACAGTGCAAGACAAAAGCCATGCGCCAGCCCCTGGCACGGCGCTTGGGCACTACTGCCGTTACTGCCCCAGGTTTCCGCCGGCAGGACGCGTGGGCAGCAGAGTTCACAATCGGCACGACGATTCGATTGTGAAGCAGAAGCAAGCATCAGGACTGTCAGTGGGTATGGGGGGCGTGGATCGAGAAACACCTCTGGAATCGCGAGTCGTCCAGGCAGGAGGTGCTGAGAGAGGTGGGGGTGAAAGTGCAAAAGCGAAAGGGAGATGGGGAAGAGTGCGGATAGGATGAACCCTTAACCTCAGTGAGAGCTTCACTGAGTATGCGATGCAGTGATAGCACCACTGGGAGTACGAGACAGTGGTACCACCACTCGAATTACGAGACAGTGCGATCACCACGAGACAGTGCGAGCACCACTGGAAGTACGAGAGCAACACTGGAGTTACGACACAATGATGGCACCACTTGGAAGTACGCGACAGTGACAATAAGAGCACCATACAAATCGCGAGACAGTACGATCACGGAACCAACAGCGAATGGGATGGCAGGAACGCCGGGGTGACCAGATAGCGGGGACGGATGGGGTGTCAACAGTGGATGCGGGATGGACGCAGGCTGCGTTGGGGGTGGTACGGGGGGTAAGCTGGCTCCCTCTCGGCTGCATCAAAGTATGGGCAATGGGTTTAATCGAAGGCAGGGCGACGTCTGGGAGCACAACGGGTTCGGGCAACTCATGCTTAGGGGGGGGGATCTGGGTAACAGCAATGGGAGCGAGTAGACTTGGGATGTGCGTTTCGCACATCAGTATCGGGCGAAATCTGCAAAAGTGCAGCGTTTCAAACTATACCGAATGTGTGAATCAATGGGCTAATAACCCCACAATGAGAGCACGATTGCAATTGCGAGACAGAGAGAAAACACCACTGGTGTTACGACACGCAGAGGCACGCACGTGCTCGCTGAAGTTAGAGGGATAATAATCATGAACCTGGTGCGCTAGCAAAAGCTGGGTGGAGGCTCCCAACGGATCAGGCGACGGAGGATAGGCGGATGGTGCCGCGAGGAGGGAATATCACAGGGAAGCATATCCGCCGGGGCTTTCAAGCGTAAGGGGGGGCGGTGTAATGGCAACAGGTGCGAGATGGATGTGGGCTGTGCGCTTCGCACATCCGTATCGGCTGGAATCCACACGAGCGCAGCGTTTCAGATTTCGCATAGAAACACGTCGTGGGTGTGCATCGACGTGATACTGGGAACGTGAGGTCTTCCGCTTTCGCAAGCTGCCCCAGCAGGGCCTGACTACTATGGGTTACTGGAATCTTTGCCCCAAGATGAGAGCACCACTGGAATTATGAGACATGGAAAACACCGATAGAAATTCGAGACGCATAAGCACACAAGTGCTCGCGTGTGTTATAGGGGCAGGGTGAGATATAGGCGAACTAGAGGTGGGCGAGAAACGAGAAAGAAAACTAGGGGCGACACCATAAGCTGGGCAGCGGTAAGCCGTGAGGTGGAGCAACAACTATACCATTGGGGAACAACAGCAATTGGGTACCCACCACCTTGGGTCTTGTACTTATTGTGCGTGTGTGATAAACCAGAATGCAGGTGGAAATGAGGTAGCGGCATGGACTGGGAAGAGGCAAGTGCACCTGGGTAACGTATAGTCCCGGGGAGACGGATAGGGGCAATGAGCGCAAGATGCCAGAAGGATATGCTGGTGTCGCTCGGGCTCCCTATTCTGGTTTGGTTTTGTGAGGGTGCTCTTCAAGGGAATGGGTCCTCTCTTACCAGCACCGCGTACGTCTCTCACGAGAAAGCGCGACGACACTTCACAGGCTGCGGGCAGCCATCGGCAGGAGGAGGGAGCAGGAGGGAGGAGGAAGAGGAGCAGAAGGCGGATGAGGAGGGAGGAGGAGGAGGAGGGAGAAGGGAACAGGGAGGAAGGATGAGCAGGAGGAGGAGGAGGATGGAGAGGAGGAGGCGGAGGAGGAGGAGGAGGAGAAGAAGGAGGAGGAGGAGAGGAGGAGGAGGGAGGAGGGAGGAGGAGGGAGGAGGGAGGAGGAGGAGGGAGGGAGGGAGGAGGAGGAGGAGGGAGGAGGGAGGAGGAGGTGCTCACGCGTTGCCGCTCCCCGCGGCGAGGTTCCTCCTCTGGGCGCGGGCTGGCCATACCGCGGCGGCCGTCGTCGGCGGCGTCGCTGCGGAGAGACAGCCATGGACCACCCGCTGGGGGGGGGGGAAAGAAGATCAGCACCGTCTGACCAGTCCCTATCCTCGCTGGGTCATGGTATCTCAATTCGAAAAGTTTGTAGATCTACGAAAAGTCGATGTATTTACTCGAGGAGTAGACGAACATAACCGCATACCCAGGATAATAAAGTACCCCCCCTTAAGTCGTTAGAGTTTTTTTTTTGTTTTTAACCGTCGGCCTAGAAGGGTTTCAAATATAGGCAGAGGGCGCGGAGGCCGAACTTCATTATCACTGGGAAAGGTCGCCATCGAGGTTACTTCCTTCTTATGTTGAGATAACACCATCAAGCGAAGCGAACACGTTGTTTCAGGATGTCTCAAGCGAAACCAATGTCCTTCTGTGTCTTTGTAGTTCTTTCGGTCTCTCTTTCTTTCTTTCTCTGTCTCTCTCTCTCTCTCTGTCTCTCGATCTCTTTCTCCTCCTCCTCCCTCTGGCGCCCTGAACTTGTTTACCGCTGGGGTTGATTATCCTGGGAAAACGAGGCACGTGAGCTACCCTACACGAGCAGATGGAAATGTTAATGTTCATCAAGCGTTTACAAATTAAATCTAATAAGTTTTAAACTTCGGATTTTTGCTATCTCCTTCTCCTCTCCTCCTCCTGCTCTTCCCCTCCTCCTCCCTCAAGGATGTCTCAAGCGAAACCAATGTCCTTCTGTCTCTTTGTAGTTCTTTCTGTCTCTCTTTCTTTCTTTCTCTGTCTCTCTCTCTCTGTCTCTCTATCTCTTTCTCCTCCTCCTCCCCCTGGCGCCCTGAACTTGTTTATCGCTGGGGTTGACTTTCCTGGGAAATCGAAGTTCGCCATCGAGCTTACTTCCTTATTCCTTCTCTCTCTTTCCCTCTCTCTCTCTTTCTCTCTCTCTCTCTCTCCCCCTTTCTCTCTCTCTCTCTTTCTCTCTATCTCTCTCCTGCTCTTCCTTCTCCTGCTTCTTCTCCTCGTCCTCCTCTTCTCTTTCTATTATATGGTTCTCTCAATATTTCTTCTCCTCACCTTGGCGCCCTGAACTTGTTTATCGCTGTGGTTGATTATCATGGGAAAGCTTGGCAGATGAGCTACCCTACACGAGCAGATGCAAAGTTTAATTTTCATTAAGCGCTTACAAGTTAAATCTAATACGTTTTAAACTCTGGATGTTTGCTATCTCCTTCTCCTCTCCTCCTCTTGCTCTTTCCCCTCCTCCTCCCTCAAGGATGTCGCAAGCGAAATAAGCAATAGTTTGACGATGTCTCAAGCGAAACAGACAGCTATTGCGAGGATGTCTCAAGCAAAACAAGCAAATTCGTTGAGGATGTCTCAACCGAGACAAATCATTGTTGAGGATGTCTCATAGAGGACCAAAGACCAAGGATCCTCAAGATATCTTTGGTTTTTTCCTCTTGGTATCTCTTTATGCTGGCTCTGGCGGGCAACTTTTAGTATCCCCCCGAAAACTCCGAACTTTACTATCCCTGGGGGTTTATTCTCCGAGGTTCTCGGTTACCCACGATAATAATGTACCCCCCCTATACACATACGAGTTGATTATCCACGGCCAATAGGAGTTTGGTCGGGGGCGCGGGGGCGCGGAGGCCGAACTTCATTACTACCGTGAAAAATTCGCCATCGAGGTTACTTCCTTCTTCCTTCTCTCTCTTTCTCTTTCTCTCTCTCTCTCTCTCTTTCTCTCTCTCTCTCTCTCTCCCCCCCCTTTCTCTCTCTCTCTTTCTCTCGATCTCTCGCCTGCTCTTCCTTCTCCTGCTTCTTCTCCTCTTCCTCCTCTTCTCTTTCTATTGTATTGTTCTCTCAATCTTTCTTCTCCTCCCCTTGGCGCCCTGAACTTGTTTATCGCTGTGGTTGATTATCATGGGAAAGCTTGGCAGATGAGCTACCCTACACGAGCAGATGCAAAGTTTAATTTTCATTAAGCGCTTACAAGTTAAATCTAATAAGTTTTAAAATTTGGATTTTTGCTTTGTCGTCCTCCTCTCCTCCTCCTGCTCTTCTTTTTCTCCTCCTCCTCCTTTTCCTCCTCTTCTCTCTCAATATATCTCTTCTTCTTTCTCTTTCTCCTCCTCCCCCTGGCGCCCTGAACTTGTTTATCGCTGTGGTTGATTATCCTGGGAAAACGAGGCACATTGCCTAAGCAGATGAAAATTTCAATTTCCACTAAGCGTTTACACATACAATGTAATAGGTTTGAAATTTGGATTTTTCCTTCGTCCACCTCCTCCTACTCCTCTCCTCTCTATCTCTATCTCTCCACCTCTCTATCTTTATCTCTCAACCTCTCTTTCTTTCTGTCTCTCTCAACCTCTCTCTATCTCTCTCTGTTTTTTTTTCTCTTTCTCTCTCTCTTTCTCTCTCTTTCTCTCTCTTTCTATCTCTCTCTCTCTTTTTTTTTTTTTTTTTTTTTTTTTTTTTTTTTCTCTCTCTCTCTCTCTTTTTCTATATGTTTCTCCTTCTCCCCGTGGCCCAAAGCCAAGGATGCCTCAAGATATCCTCGGCTTTGGCTCCTCTGTTAATATCTTTATGCTGGCCTCTGGTGGGCAACTTTTATTATCACACCGTAACCGCCGAACTTTATTCTCCCTGGGGGTTTATTCTCGGCTGTGAGCGGTTATCAAGTCTGGTGTGCATCAATTGTGCAGCCGATCTCCTCCCCGCTGGGCCATGGCATCTCAGTAAGTTTTGCTCCCGCCCTGGATCCTGATGCCCAGAGGTCCCAGGAGGCCTCCGGAGGCCCGACGGGCCAAGAATGTCTGAAAGCCTCACCCCTCGACCTTCGTGGGCAAAACTTGGCATCTCGGCCCCACCCGCCCGCCCCCCCGGACGGGGTAGGTCCCGCGAAACCTGAAGGGAAGAAGCGCAGAGTTCACTCGGGGGGGTAAGTCGGCCGGCGGGGCCAAGGCCATGCCAGTAGGGATCGGAATCTGTTTGATGATGATCAGGGGAGGCGAACGCGGATGAAGAGCGAGTCCGAAGGTCTGGCGCCCAGGACCTCTCCACCCCGTCTCATTGTCGGACGGGGCTAGGACCAGGATGAATCCTTTCCAGGGCGTTCTGGAACGCTCTCAGAGCGTTCCGGAACGCTCTGGGAAGGCCGCGGCGCCCGGGACATCCTCCAGAGCCACCAGATCTCAGAGATTCTGAATTCATCTTCGTCCGATTTTATCCTCGAGCTGGCTTTATCTTATGTTCGTTCCCAGCCGTTTCCAGACGGCCCCGAGGCCCGCAGCTGGCCTCCAGGCATTGCCACCGACTGGTCGGCACGGTCCCCGTCGGGCGGCGAAGTCTACACGTCAGCCACTGCTCCCCCCGGCCCCGGGCGCTTCCTGGGTCCAGGAGCTGTGTGTGCGCCCTCCTGGGGCAAGCCAGGAGGGCGTGGCGTATACACCGCGGCTGGGTTCAGGACAGGCTTGGCCAGGGAGCAGTGGATCTGCATCAAGTCGTGGATCGACTACAGAATTGATGTACCCCAGAGTTTCTTTCTACATCGAATCTTCAAAGCAAGGCGTATAATGCGCGTAGATCTACCAACGAACTGCGCAGGTTGTGTGGGCCCGACAACACATCTTGTTTGGGTATATCTATTCTGTAGTCGACCCCCTACAATCAGCCCGCATATTAAGGATGATGGGCAACCTTCCCAAGTGTACCCTTGCATCCTTGCCTCTTCGGCCCATCCTCAGCCACTTTCGCTGGCCAGCCTCGTGCGAGCAACGTTCACCTGGGCCTCCAAGGCCCTTGCACCCTTACCGCGCATCCTCACGATACGGGATGACTGTGCTCGAAGGTATAGAGAGCAGGCCTCGTCGCCCCACGTTGTGCTCCGCGCCGCTCCCCGGGGAGGGCCGCGCGCCCCGAGGACCCGCGGCCCCGCCCGCGGCGGCCGCGAGGGCGCCCAGCGTGGCGGCGCAGCAGCCGCAGCGGCACGGGGCGACCAGCAGGGCGGCTGCAGGACGCGCTTTGGCTCGTTGCGGCGGCGGGCGGAGGGGTGGGTGGGGGCAAGGGGGAGTTTTTGTTCGTGCTTTATTTTTTCATACCATATTCATACTATGAAGCAATCCAAGAGAAGGTATCATTTGTTAGTGCCCTCTGGGCCATAACACGCGTTCTGCCCCCTCCCCTCCCCCCCCTCCCACCTACCCTCGCCCCAACCCAGCGGGGGGGGGAAGTGAGAATCATAATCTACGCCTCCTGCTTGTAGATGGGGTCGGAGTAGATGGCGTCGGCGGATGGCGCCGCATCGCCGATGCATCGCCGATGCATCGGCGAGGCGGCCCGACGCGAAGCCCCATTTTTTCCGCGCTGGCGTCGCCCGTGCATCGCCGACGTCGCCTGTGCATCGCCGATACATCGGCGATGCAGCGCGATCCTTCGACTCCATCTACTCGGACCCCATCTAGGAGGTCTCTAGAGAAGGAGTTCTTTGTTTTAAAAAACCTCTGGGCCATAACGCGCGTTCTGCCCCCTACGTTCCGCCCCCCCTCCCCCCCCAATACGTAACGCTCCCCCCCATCAGTGCGTCTCCGGCACTGCCGCAGTGCGTCCGGCAACACAGGCTGGGGGGGGGCGGGGCGCTACGTTATGGCCCCCCTCCTCCCCCCTCATATCATAACGCCCGTTATGGCCGCGAACAAAAAGATCGTTCAAGGAGAGGGTCTTCTCGGAAGGCGGCGGGGCCTCTCAGAAGCCCCCAGGCCTCCTGAGAAGTTTTCTGCGTCTTCGGGGAAGGCTTACTAGAGAGCTTCTGAGGAGGCCGACCGGCAGGACGGTCGCAGGGCGCGTTTTGGCTTGTGGTGGTTCGCCGTGGGGGAGGCTGGGTCCTGAGGGAAAGGGGTCCTGAGCTGTTTCGCTGTTTTCGGGCTCTCTGGGCCTTCCACGGGCCCCGGGACCGTCAGAAGTCGATTCAGGATGGAGAACTCGTCCTGGGGAAGTCCAGGGTCCAGGACCCGTTTCCCTCAGGACCCGCTTCCCCAATGCTGATGCGGTGGCGCCCAGGTGATTGCAGCGGCGGCGAGGACGGCGGCGGCGGCGAGGGCGGCGGCGGCGGAGACGACGACGGCCACCTTACGACGATGCACAACAGGGGGGTCCACCGCAGTGTGGGTCGCCTCCCCCCCTTTCCCTCACTTGGCGATCCACACCGGGACGACCGATGATATCGGTCGTCCCATTCGTGGGTACGGCCATATCATAGGCCACATCATATGCGTGAGTTTGTGCACAGCTATATCATATGGCCGTGCCCACACGCAAGCATTACAGGCATCATCTCGGAATTGCCTGTCCTCTTTTACTTCTGCTGACCGGGTGCTGCATCTTCTTCTATTCATTTATCTATTCGAAGACACTCATAGCTGGGTTCGCAGGGCTGAAGAAGATTGCGGCACTGAAAACTAGTAAGCAAAAGGATATGATCGCTTCGATGACGTCAACCACAGGCACGGAAGAGACAGACAGACAGAGCATAGCAGACATCTTCGCCGCCTTCTACGAAAAGTTGTACAAGGACCCGCATCAAACACGCAACCCCGACAACACCCAGGAAGACACAGACCGACACAACCATCCCACCTTTCACAGAGAACGAACTCCACCAAGCAATCCGCCAGTTCAAAAACGGCAAGTGCGCAGACACTGCGGGCATCACAGCAGAATTGCTCAAAGCAGGCGGCGCTACCATACGAGACCACCTCTTGAGACTCTACAACGACCTCATGAAGACCAAACAGACCCCCCGGACCAATGGAGGAGCACCACCGTCACTGTGATCCACAAGTCTGGAGACCCGAAGCTTCCAAGCAATTACAGACCAATTGCAATCATACCATTGATATACAAGCTTCTGTCTCGCCTCATTTGCAACCGACTGAGCTCTCTGTTTGACTCGCAGCAGTGCCCCGACCAAGCAGGATTCAGGAAAAACTATTGCACCGAGGACCACCTCTTGACCACTGCAATACTCCATGAACGTTCTTACGAGTGGCAGCTACCGCTCTGGACGGCAGCCATAGATTTCAAGAAGGCGTTCGACTGCGTTGACCATGGATGCCTATGGGAGGCCTTACGGCAACAGCATGTACCGTCAGCCTACATCAACTTCCTGAAGCAATTGTACCGCGACCAGACAGCAACCGTTCGCACCGACACCACGAGCAGACCCTTCAGCATCGAACGAGGAGTAAAACAAGGGGACCCACTCAGCTCCTTCCTCTTCAACGCTGTCCTCGAGCATGTCTTCAGGCAAGTGAAGCCAACGTGGCTTCGAAAGAACTTTGGCATCCACTTGGGATCCGCACCACAAGCACGGATCACGAACTTGCGCTTCGCCGACGACGTGCTGCTCTGCGCGCCCAACTTGCGACAACTCGCTTGCCACCTTCGAGATGTCCGCGCCCAGGCAGAAAAATGTGGCTTGTCATTGCGCCCGGACAAAACGAAGATCCTGACGAATGTCAGCCGGAAGAAAGGCAGAACAATCAGCCATGTCGACATCAGCGGAGAGAGCATCGAGATCTTGAGTTCTGACCAAAGCACAAAGTACTTGGGGAGAAAGCTCACCTTCCATGACTTTCACGACGCAGAGCTACACAACCGGATCGCTGCAGGATGGGGCCGGTTCAACCAGTTGCGGCATGAGTTTACAAACAAGCGGTTTCCATTGCACAGTCGATTGCGTCTCTTCAACGGCACAATCACGCCGTCAGTGATGTATGGGTGCTCATCGTGGACCCTCACGAAGGACATGCTCATCACTCTTAGACGAGTTCGACGGAAAATGCTACGGCTCATCATGGGGATGCCGCGGCGACGCAGCACTCACAGCCAGCGCGCTAGTGACGACACTGACCACAACCGCAACGCCCCCGACATCAGCAATTCTAGCGACGAGGGCCTCGCGCGCGAAAACAACGACGAAAAGCTAGAATCATGGGCTGACTTCATACAGAGAGCGACACACACACAGCAGCATGTCACGCTTCAAGAGCACATGTGCCAGAGTGGACGACTGTGTACTTCAGAAGGAAATGGAGGTGGGCATCGCGCTTAGCAGGACACGATTTCGACAGGTGGACTCTTTTAGTGGCCAAATGGGAACCGCAATGCCACGATCCACGCCCAGCACAACGAAGACACGGTGGACAGCGGAAGAAATGGGCCGACGATATAGTCAAGTACCTACATTCCGAGAGTCTCGTGGACGACAGCAAAGACAAAGACGACAACGCACAGTGGTTATCCATAGCATCAGATTTGTCATTGTGGGAAAAGCTAGAGAATAAGTTCTTAGATTGCGCGCGCAGCTATTACAACATACGCTGATGATACAAACAAAGCAATCCTCCCACCTCCAACTCTCAACCTCCACCTGTCGCCCCCCAGACTCACCTAACCAACCTCCAGCTTCCAACTCCCCACTCCGACGTCCATCTCTCCGACTCCGGCTCCCAGTTTTCCGACTCCAGCGCCCATTTCTCCGACTCCGGCGCCCGTCTCTCCGACCCGAGCTCCCAACTTTCCGACTCCAGCGTCCATTTCTCCGACTCTGGCTCCGAGTTTTTCCCGACTCCAGCGTCCATCTCTCCGACTCCGGCGCCCATCTTTCCGACGCCGGCTCCCAAGTTTCCGACTCCGGCGCCCTTCTCTCCGACTCCGGCTCCCAACTTTCCGACTCCAGCGTCCATCTCTCCGACTCCGGCTCCGACTCGTCTTTTGAGGGGCCCTGGCCCCCCCGCGCTGCCCTCATAGGGCCGGTCCCGCTGGGCCGACATCGCGCGCTCGCTCGCTCGCTCGCATAGCTGGGTTCGCGCTGGGCTTATATCCCAGAGCCCGCTTTGGCTTCTCTTGAGGCCTTCTTCTGCAATTATCAGTTTTCTGTTCGGGGCCGTCTGGTTGAATTTTGGGGCGCCTGGAAGCGTCCTTGAAGTTGACAGGGAAGGGCCGCCTTCTCAGACCTCTGTCGGACCCCTCCTGGGACCAGTTGGGACCCTCTTAGGTTCATCTTTTGCCGCTCTTGGGCTTCCTTGGGGCTCTCTTTTTGTCAATCTTGGGACTGTCTGAACGCGTCCGAGGCCCATCATACTGAAAGAAGGCGGTATCGCCGGCATCATTCAAAGGCCAGATGACATTCAATGGCTTTTGCCTCTCTGGAGCTCCCTCGGGAGGCTCGGAGGCCAGTGTAGCGCCATCGGGGCCAACCCGGGCAGTCACGGATGCCATCTTGACCAGTAATTACCGATGGGGCCCAGCAGGTTGGTTGAGGAGTTGGTTCTGTTTCCCTCCAGGTCTCCCCCTCGTTAACGTAACACGTTCGGCATGCGGCAGGCGGGGGTGGGAGCGTTGCAGTCGAAACCGATAATATGGATGGTTAACCTTCCCAAGGGTACCCTTGCATTCGTGCCCCATTGGTCTATCGACAAAGAACTTTCGACGGCCAGCCGCGCTCGAAGAGCTTCGACATGGGCGTCCAAGTGGCCTGCATCCTTACCGCGCATCCTTACTACTATCAGTTCAGACTGGCGGCCCGCCGCCGCCCCTCGGTGAGTCCGACGACGGGCGAGCGCAACTGCTTCCTCTGCCCGGGCAGGCGGTGGCCCGAGCAGTTTCGGCACGTCGAGGACTGCAAGCCCAGGCGCGCGCTCGCGCGAGGGATCCTCAGAGGAGCAAGGGGTCATGGTAATGATACATCCCAGGAATTCCAAGGTTCCCAGGGTTTCCCTTCATAACCTAATGTCCCGCACGGGCTGCGCCGCTAGATACTCTGAAAATTCCGCTGACAATTCTGGAGCGCATCTGGAGCCAATCTGCATTTGACATCATTATCGCCCTGGATCCGAGAGCGCGCCCCAGCCGGCCCTGGTGAGCGGTTGGGTTTGGCCTGCGTAGCGGTGGCGCAACGATGCGCAGATGGGCTTCTCAAGCTGTCTTCCCGATCGCCGTGCGAGCACCTCCGCCTCGCAATCGGTCCGTCGTGCGGTCCTGTGGTGTCCAATCCGAGGGGGGAGAGAGTGTGTCCACGTGGGCCACAGCTCGGAGAACGCAATATGTCACGATAGCAGCCGTGTGCGTCTGTGGCCGCTCTCATGCTGGCCATCTGCGAGCCGCGAGGCCCTGCAAGTGGAAGGGGTGCGGTGCCCAGAGGGGAACTGGCGGCAAAGCACCTGGGAGGCCCTCTGAGGGCCTTTTGGGGGCCTCTTCGGGGGGCCCTTCTTGGGGCGCTTTTGGGGGGTCCTGGCCTTGGCCAGCTTGAGGCCATCTTGGGTGTTCTTGAGGCCTCGCCTACGCGTTGGAGCCCTTTTGGAGCCATCTGGGCATCTTGGTGGCCATGGAGGGTGGATTTCAAGATCCCACGGGCCCCAGAGGTGCGTTGACGAGCTCGTAGGGGGCCCTTCCCCCCTCAAACTTGATTTTTGGTATTGGGTGAGGGGGAAATGGGGGAGGATGACACCCAATCATCTCAAACACCTTCTCGGGGTCGGCGGATCTTCGATTGTCCACAGCCCTCCCTTCCAGCTCTTCCCCCCTTCTATTCCCACCGTGCTTATAGCTCTTACACTTGCCTGGAGTATAGGCCCAGTCCAAGGACCACGGAAATCTGCTCACCTTCTCTACATGTGTTGGTCGAGCTATTACTCTCTATTCGATCGCCCATCTGAGTGTCGTGTTGTGACAGACTCACGTCCCAGCCCCCGACCTGCTTGGTTGCTGCCCTGGCAGCTGAACAGCGTGGCTGCTCCGCTGCTTGATCCTGCTGCGCAGAGCGCCTGCTGCGCGCTGGGAGGCTATACGGCGTGCGGCCACGGCTCACGCTACTTCTGCGGAGGTGCGTCTCTCGGTGCAGTCCACTCCGCTCTTGCCGCCCGTTCTGCCTATGGGGTGCAGTCTACTGTGTCCGCGAATGGGGGGGGGGCGGGGCGCCATACGATGGGTTCGATGCGCAATGATGACATCCCCAAGGGCTAGACCCCTTGTGCTTGACGCGAGACGCCTCTGAGGCGACGGGATCCCCCCTGGGGGATCAGCAGAGCTGGGAGGAACGCCAGCAGCGGGCCCAGCTCCGCGGTTGTTCTGGCTCGAGCGGCCGCTCCCACCCGCCACCTCCGGGTGTGGCGCCTCCTGCCCCGCCAGTCCCCAGGGCGCCGCGGTGCTCTCGGGCCTCTGCGCCGGTCACCGCGGCCCCCCGGTCGGCCATGGCCGAGCCCGCGGCGCCGCAGACAGCGCCCGACCCCGACCCACAGCTGGAGGCGCGGGTGGCCGCGCTTCGGCGACTGGCCATGGAGGACGCGCTGCCCGCGGTGCGCGAGATCGTCCGCCTGTGTGCAACCGGGCAGCCCGTCACGGTGCAGCGCGAGGCCGCGGGCCCGGGGCGTCTGTTGGGCCGCACCGAGCCCGTGCAGCTGAACCTTGACGCGTCCATCAGCGATTCGGCCGACGGGCAGGTGCCCCCTCCTGTTAGGGAGGCCGCTGTCGTCTTCGGGGCCCTCGCGGCGTCGCTGCCGGCCGAGATGTGGCGGGGGCGCTGCGTGGTGGAGGTGGGCTGCGGCAGGGGCTACGTCGGCCTGGTTCTCGCGGTGCTGGGCGCGCGGGTGACGCTCATGGACAGGCCGGAGTACGCCGGCTTCGTGACAGGCTCCATCGCCCGCAACTCCGCAGTGATCCGGCGGACGGCGTCGGCGGCCTTCTGCCCGCTGGACTGGAAGGACCCGCGCGGCTCCGCGCACGCCTGCGCGGCCCTGGCGAGGGCCAATGTGGTGGTCTTCACCGACCCCGTGGACTCGGAGCAGTCCCAGCATGACTTCATGGGCGTGCTGCGGGCGATGGTAGGCCTTGATGGGGGTCCCGCGCTTTGCTCCGCGCTTGAGGGCCTACTGCTCGTCCACAAGCACCAGCAGTCCTTCTGCATCGGCGGCTATAGCGCCCCTGTTGGGCTCGTGGATGCGCGTCCCGCCATAACACTCTCCGAGCACTGCGACCGGTGTTCCTTCCGGCGCTGCATGGAGGACGGCCCTGGTCGCTCGATTTCCAGAGGGGTCTGGGGCACAGGGGCAGCAATCGTGTGGCCTCTTGGAGGATCATCTTTGCTCCGGAACTCGCTTTACCCTGCTGCGTCTGGATAGTCTCGGATAGCATCGGGGGCTGGGATAGCCTCAGCTAGCCTCGGATTGCCTGGGACATGGTCGAATACATGGCTCGGACGATCAGACCAGGAGGGTGGAGAGTGTTCACCACGAGCTCGGCGTATTCAGCAACAGTCAGATTGATCCCAGCCAGGCCAAGAGAGCAGAGCAACCGAGAAGGGCCTAACTCGCAGAGCTTGGCTGTATATTCTGTCTGGTCATTGTCTGCTTGATTGCTCCCGTGCCCGCAGGGCCCTTGGGAGGGCGAGCGACGACTAGAGAAATAAGCTATTGCAAAATCATGCACTTTCAGAGGCCCTGGTAGGTCTCTTGGGTCAGGTCTGGGCCCCCTTGGCGGCGCCTCTGGCGCCGCCCCTTGCGCGCTTCGCGCGCCAAGGGGGGGAGGTCTAACGCGCACATTTAAGAAATCCGTGCGGACCTCCGACAGTCCATGAACAATCCCTTGACGATCACGTTTCGCTGAGGAACTGTGTCTGCAAGCCGGTCTCACGGCGGCAACTCAGACACGCGCGCATGGCGTGAGTGTGGGTGAGGCTGAGTGCGAGCGAGTCTGCGTGCAAGTGGGTTTGAGTGTGAGTGAGTCTAGTAAGTGTGAGTGAGTCTGAGTGCAAGTGTGATGAACGAGTCTGTGCATGAGCGAGTCTAAGTGTGAGTGGTAATGAATATGTGTGTGCTTCAATGTGATGAGTGAGTCTGAATGAGAAGGAGGTGCTGCTGAGTAAGTCCGAGTGTGAATGAGTGAGTCTGAGTAAGTGTGAGTGAGAAAAAGGAGGTGCGTGAGTGGGTGAGTGAGTGGGTGAATGAGGAGCATAAGTCCAAGAGAAGTCTGGGGGGCAGAAGCAGGCAAACCGCTTGGGACACCGCCACCATTTGGACGCGTATCTTAGAGTGTACCCATCCCTGGCGGCTCCCCCTTGGGGTGCCTAGTGCCAAGCGTGCATTAACGCGGTGAGCGAGCAGTGGGCCACCCAATGAGAGAGGGGCAACCACAGGCAAACCGCTTGAGACATCCCCACACTTCGGGCGCGAACGGGCCCATGAAATAATCCCTGGCGGCTCCCCCTTGGGGTGTCCAAGTACCACGCGCGTTATATCGCGATGAGCAGTGGACCACCCACAGAGAGAAACAAGTCTCGGGGGCAGACACAGGCAAACCGCTTGAAACATCCCCGCACATTGGGCGCGAACGTGCTCGTGAAATACCCCTTTGCGGCTCCTCCATTGGGTGCCCAAGTGCTACGCCTGCGATAGCAGTGTACCGCCCAAAGACAAATCTGGGGGGGCGAAACAGTCAAACCGCTCGAGACATCTTCGCAATGTGGGCGCGAACGTGCCCGTGAAATACTCCTGGCGGCTCCCTGTCGGGAGTGCTGAAACCAGCGCTTCGCCTGAGAAATCCTCACAGTCTGTGTGTGTGTGAGTGATCAGGAGTATGCGTGAGTTTGAAGAGAGGAAGGGGCCTGAATATGAGTTTGGGTGATGTGAGTGAATCGGAGTAAAAGTGAATCTGAGTGTGATTGAGTTTGAGTGCTAGTGAGGCTGAGTGTGAATGAGTATGGGTATGAGTGAGTCTGATTGCGAGTGAGTCTGAGTTTGAGTGTCTGAGCTGATCTGAATGAGCCTGAGGGAGGAAGAGCAGGGAGTGGAGAGGTGATGTCCGTAGGCGTATGAGTAATTTCAAGAGTCCCATCCTATGATATGGGATAAACAGTATACATATCAGCTTTCGACGCTCCCCGCGGGTTTCTTGGATCTACGCTGGGCCCCCCTGGCGGCGTTTCTGGCGCCGCCCCTGGCGCGTTCCGCGCCCCGGAGGGGGGTCCAGCGCACATTCAAGAAATCCACGCGGACCTCCGACAGTTTATGTTTATGTGCCGTTTCTTGTTTCTCTGAACTTTTTGAGCCTACGGTGTTTCATTTTGGTCCCCACCCCTTCCTCGCGGAGGACGCTGGCCTGAAGGTCGGGAAGCTCGACTTAAAGGTTTGGGGACGTCAACCGAGCACCTCACCGATCCTGTCTGGGATCGGTGCGCACGCCATCCTGGTTTGTTCCAGGATGGGCCCAGCCGGGATCGGTGGAGTAGTAAGTTGCCGTCCCCGGAAAGGTGCCCAGCGACTTCGCCCATCCTTTCGTCGAGTGTTGGGAGCTGTCGGTGAGCAGGGCCGCGAGGTCGTGAGAGCCGCGGGCGGGTAGCTAGCGGCAGCCACGAGTCATTGGAGGCAAAAAGGAGGAGCTTTCACGGGGTACTTCTAAGCATGTGCCGCCGTGTTCGCCTGACCGAAACCGAAGCCAGTTAGTGCCTGCTCTTTCCCGTTGGTTCATGCATTCGCTAGATTTCGCAAGGAGGCCACGGTGGTGTACTTAGTACCTCGGCGACCGACCTCTCGTCTGTAAGAGTCGAGGGTGGGGAGGATATCCCGTGTGGCCAGCGTGCTTCACATTGGTAGCCCCATGGCATTTGCGCTGTCGTTTTCGTATGCGTGGTCGGCATGTTTCCAGTCTCAATCGTTTGCGTTACTCTGGAATCGCGAGCCGTGTCACTCCCTGTATCTGGTTAAACATTGATGTGGGAAAGAAGTGTGTTGTGAGTATGATGATCATAATGCATATGTGTTGCCACAGAAGATGCACACATACATATCGTCCGTGGTGGATCACTGTTTTTTTGTCCATGGGCGACGGGCGATAGGAGCTAGTGCGGCTGTAGTCCATCCAAATCGATCTTACAATGATGGCCGTATTTTCACTATGTTCACCATGCTAAGCAAGCTATTTCGTCACGTGGGCTGCTATGGGAGCGTCGCCCTGGCGCTGCCTCATCGCTGAGAGCCAAACGCATCGCAAGCTGGCTGTCGAAATTCCGACCATCCACGTGATGCGGGCGCGAACCCCAAAGAGTGTTTGGTGGGTCTGGTCGCTACGTCGCGTTTAGGTGGCGCTGCTTTGAGCTTTGAGCTTTGTGGGGCGAGCCGGAGCTGACGGGCGACGATGATGTCCAGGTGGCGCACGGTAGATCATGGCATGGGCATGGGGCTAGGCGACGCCACTCGGAAGAGAGTGGGCGAGCTGCGGGTGGCGCAACATTTTGGGTAACCGGGCCAGGCAGGCAAGTCGGGATTATTGAGCAGCGAGTTGTTTCGGCTGGCGCAAGGAATGAGACTAGCCAGGGCTTGCTAGCGGGCGACGGTGACTTCTGTGAGGCAGATGCATGAGGCTGGGCGGGACTGGCCTATCAGGATCTCATGGGGGTGCAGTGGTATTGGGCTTGGCGGGGTTCACCGGAGTTGCGGGCGGCGACGAGTTGCGGTTGTCGCGAGACGGCGGGGTCAGACGGGTATGCTCGCGGCTAAGTCCGGGTTGCGCAATCCATGGACATGAGGCTCGGCGGGGCCAGTGGGCGGCGACGAGCTTCGGGGATCTCGGCAGGGCTTCTGGATGGGGCCAGTGGGCGGGGAAGACAGACAAGCTTCGAGCACAGGGAGGCAACAGGCCTTTCGAGAGACGCAAATAACACGCCATGAGCATTACCTAGAGAAGCTACTGCCCCAAGTGCATGCGCTGTTTCAGTGTGTCGCAAATTAGAGACTAAGTGTAACTCGTTCGGCTGTGCGCTGTGCGGCTCAATACGTGTGCGCAGTGCGGCGAACCCAGGGGCTCCATCTGGACGATGTTTTCTGATGCCCTCTGGAGATGCACTGGCTTGAGCCGAGGCAATCAGTATGGATGGAAAGTAACCTATGTGTTGTATGCGACGCGCGTTCGAGGTACCAGTGTGTACTGATTATGCTGATTGCTAGCTGTCGTTCATGGGGTACGTCGTGGCATTTGATGGTTCAATGTTATGGCGCGCATCCAGTGGAGATCCGTACGAATGTGCCATCGCAGCTGGGGTGACCAGCGCGGTGCTGATCGTCGCAGCAACGCTGAGAGGCTTGAAGCGTGCTGTTCCAGCGGCGCTGCGTGTCCTCCCTCCCTATCTTCCTCGCTGTACCCTCCACTGAACTGGCCTGCTTGTGAAGTGCCCGTGCGCGTTCATCGCTGGGTCGCCCATCCCCATCCCATCCGATGGATTAGTTTTTTCCCCTCCGTGAGGCTCAGAGGTCCCGACCGCTTCCCCATGTACTTTTTTCCGTCCTGGGCCCATGCTGATAGTCCCAGGCCCCGAGACCAGGCCGAAATAGAAGGACTTGCGGGTCAGACGACATCAGTGTGTCCGACTTCCGGGCTGTCTCGCAGTTCGGGGCCGGAGCCAGAGCGACCTTCCTCCTCCTCCTCCTCCTCCTCCTCTTCCTCCTCCTTGCGTGCATATCGAACTCGGCGCCTGTGCGCAAACTCAGTCCATCCTCGCCTTCGGTCGGCTCGCCACCCGGAGCTCGAGCCAGCACGAGCTCCGGGCCTGCCGCCTCCCCTCCTCGCGGTAGCGCCCTCGAGGCGCGGTGGCGGCGCGGAGGCGCCAGGGAGCGCCGCTGGCGCCCGCGCAGCCTGGAGGCGGCGGCGGGCGGTTCGCCCCCCTCGTCGTCGTCGTCGTCGTCGTCGTCGTTGTCGTCGTCGTCGTCGTCGTCGTCGTCGTCGTCGTCGTCGTCGAGTACTCACTCCTAGGGAACAGTCATTGTTGGTCGATGGACGCGTTTCGGGGCGCCCTCGTCTCGACGCCAGCTAAACCTTCTTTGAAAACTCAGCTCCCGCTCGAGTGCGGGCTTGGAGCTGGAGTCCTACTGCTGGCCCTTGAAGGGCTAACAGCGACGACAAAAGCTCCAGCCCAATGCGTCCTCACAATTTACTCCGAAACGCCCTGGCCACAGAGGCCCCCCGAACTCAGGGATGGCAGTCAAGTTGGCTAATGGCCGACTGCGACGACAACGGTTTCCGCTTAACAGGTCCTCACACATTCTCCATCAGGGCTTCGCCCTCTGCCGCCGGTCCTTCTGAATAATGATGGGAGATGTCAGAGCTATGTTGGGACGGGTCGGCGCTGTTTTGAGAACCTCTGGGGGCATCATGCGAGGGCGACTGACATCAGCAAGCGCCTTGAGATGATGGAGCTGATGTTGTTCGCTTTGTGTTTGCTTCTCAGAGCGCGGATCTGGCGCAATCTACGGGTGGAGCGGGTCCTCGGGAGCGCGAACTTGGCGGACTTTACGGGGGGTCTTGTCCTAGGGAGCGCGAATCTGGCGTGACTTGCCAAGCATGCTGGCCTCGGGGGCGCGAGCCTGGCGTAAGTTACAAGGCATTCCGGTCCTGGGAACGCGAGTCTACGGACACGTGCAGGAAGGATTCTGGCTTCGGGGGGGGGGGGGGAGCGCGGACCTGGCGCAATCAGAAAAAGGGATGCTGGCCTCGGGAGCGCGAACCTGGCGCAGTCTGGTGTAATTTACGAGGGATCGTGGCCTCGGCGCGCGGATCCGGGGTAATTTTCACGGGCTTGCTGCATCGGGGGCGCGGATCTCTCATATCTTTACTTGTCCCAGGGCCCCACAGAAATTTAGAGTACGCGATTCGGGCGTGGTGGCCAGGGCGGTTTTCGCCCCCCCCCTCCCCCCCCGCCCCCCTCCCTCCCTCCCCCCTCCCTCGCGCGGACAGCAGCAATGTGCAGTAGCAAGCAGAAAGTCTTCTTACAACATTGGAAGCTGGAACATTGAACTAGCGGCAGGGTGCAGGAAACCTCAGCCGCGCAGGAAAGGGAGACGGCGGACTCCGAGACGCCCTTGCCAGAGAGGCCCCCGAACTAAGGACTGGCGCTCTCACCCGAGACTTCCTCGCAAGCCAGTCATGTTGGCGAAGGCCCAACTACAGCGACAATGGCTCTCGCTCGACATGCCCTCGCAGTTTACTCCGAGACACCCTGGCCACAGAGGCCCCCAAACTCAGGAGTGGTGCTCTCGCCCGAGACTTCCTCGCAAGCCAGTCAAGATGGCGAAGTTCCAACGACAACGGCTTATGCTCGGTACTTCCTCACAGGTCACTCCGAGACGCCCTGGCCACAGAGGCACCCCAAACTCGCGCAATTCAGTCAAGCGACCGCAAGCCAAACTAGGACGGCAACTGCTTCCGCTTGATACTTCCTCGCAATTCACTTCCACGCGCCCTGGTCGGATGTTTTCTCACACTCAGGAAAGGCGCTGTATGCGAAGTGCTTCTCCCAGCAGCTGATGTGAAACATATCCCTCATACATAGGGCTGGCTCGTGGACTTCGAGGGCAGGTACATGGGAGGGGGATAGACAACTAAAGGTAAACACATATTTCAAACCACAATCTTGGCAAGATGGTCGTTGTCGTCGTCGTCGCCGATCGAGGGTCGAGGTTCGAAGGCAGGGGTTGGAGAATCGATTTATCTGATAGTTTTTGGCTTCGTCTGGGCTTCCAGAGGCCTCCAGGGAACTCCAGAGGCCTCCCAGGACTTCCTGCTTCCCTCTGGCGACCTGCTCGGTCCCTGGCCGCTGTGCGGCTGTGGGTGGGGGGGGGAGAGGAAAGGAAAGCAGAGAGCGCAAGGGGAGGGAAGGGAGGCGCTGGGTGGACGGTGAGCGGGGGAGGGGAGCCATCGGTGATCGGTGGAGGGCGCGGGTTCGGCGTCCGCCCTCTCGGACTCAGCGAGCGCTGCTGCTGCTGCTGCTGCTGCTCCTGTCCACTGGCGAGCGCCAAGCGCACATCAGCGCCATGGCTCGCCGGGCCCATCCATGCCCTGAGGCGGTGTGCCGTCGCGTGTTGCCTGGCCTGCGGCGAGGAGCGACGAAGCACCAAGCCAGGGTCCAGGATGGGCCCAGGCCAGGTCGTGTCGGTGCACAAGTCCCCGACCTCCGCCGTCGTAAGACAGGCTTCGAGCCCCGTCGATCCGTGAGCGCCCCGGGTCCCGTAAATGGACCGCGAGGCGCCCATCGTGAGCTCGTCACGACGCCTGGATGCGAGGGTCGTCCCCTCCGCCTGGTTCTGCTACGACAGACAAGTGCCTTGCGACGCTTTCTGACTCCCCGACGACCCTGGGGACATGCAGGAGCCCTTGGCCGCCTTCAAGTGTTCATGGTCGACGAGAAATGTGGCCCCTGGTTTCTTCCAGCATTTTTTGCTGAATACTTCTCCTTCCCCGAACTGCTTGCATGCAACAGGATCTTACTTGGCTTGTGCGACGAAGCTGGCCTGGCGTGCCAGAGGGTGGCCGTTGCCGCCATGGTGCTGCGCG